GTGTCCAGTGCTACGAACTGCGCCACCTTGCAGCCCAGGATGAGAACATTTTTTGTATAATTAGCTTACACATAACACAGCATTATTTCATAGATATATGCAGCATTTTGTCTGTTTATTCATATGTAGGGCAGGGTGGTATGGCCAAAGATATTTATCACAATATAAATGAGAAAACTTGCGGTGATGATATAACTGACGATATAATTGATGCTAGACAAAATACTTCATATAGAGGTGGGTGAATATTCGGACTGACGGGGCGGAAGTGGGCAGGATGCACAGGCAGTACTTGGCTGCTAATGCCAATTTAGGGTAGCGGTCACAGCTCTGTTTCCACCATCGGGTGGCGGCGGCGGCAGGGGGAGGGTAGCGGCGGGCTGCGGGCAAATATTCGGATCTCAAAATTGCTATGCGGACACCACCACAGCGACCGAGTATTCCAATATCTGGGTCCAGCCCCACTGTGTCGGTCGATGCACTGCATTCGCCGCCATGCTTCTCGCTCCGTGTGCATTAGACCGGCTGAAAACAATGGCACTGTGTGTTTCACTCAAATTTTTTGCAATATTTCAATTTCAGATCATCCCCTAGCATTACACTGGTATTACTGTGCACGATATGCTATGGCCTGGCCCTGTTCATATGGTTATGTATTTAATAATAGCTCATTTACAGAAGGATGTAGTTTAGTTTATTTTTGTCTCCATTGTTCTATTCAGTAATACCAGAAATTATCATCAGTAATCAAAACTACACAATTAACAACAGCATCTCCACTTGTTGAAGTCTGGGAGACAAATCAATTAGAATTTTAGAATTAGAAAGGATGCTATTTACCTGAAAACATTTTTTTGGCGTAAAAAGTTTGCTTGTGCTGTCTGTTGTGGGATTTCGAAAAAAATAGCCCCACTCTGATCTGCAGTTCAGTATCCTAACTTTAAAGCAGTGTGTACCAGCGGAACAAAGACAAACTGGAGCTTCTGTCAGAGTCCGCTGGGGGCTTTGGTATCTTACTGAGGTTTTCAAGTTTTCCTGCAGAGCCACTAGAGTATTGAGACATTCTGGGATTATGGGACGGTATGATCAAACACGCCTTTGCACACATGAAGCTTCAGAAAGGCGCTATAGTGTGTTTAATTTTTATAATTTTTATCTTTTCCTGCTACTAAGACTGTGTTTTATTGTCCATTAGCGAATCATTCTCAGTGCTTAGTGTGTTCTAGAAGTTGTTTTTCATTATTTGCTCTTTCAGGCAAATCTGCTGTTCTTTACTTCACGAGGCAAACTTGAATTGTATTGTAAAAATGGTGCATGCTGCTGGTGTGTGTGTGTGTGTGTGTGTGTGTGTGTGTGTGTGTGTGTGTGTCTCATGTCTTTGGTCTTATTATGAAAGAGAATTTCCACTGAGGTCAGACAGACACACAAACTATTGACAGCAGTGTCATCTGATCTTCTTACTTAGGTTTTCAGAGGTAATGACTGTGTGTGTGTGTGTGTGTGTGTGTGTGTGTGTGTTTGTGTGTATCTGCACGCAGCTATAGAAGCATAGGTAATAGACACACACAGAGACAAAAGGTCCTTTTATGAAGATGATGTGTGTCTGAGAAGGTCTCCAGTTGCACTCCTAACACCGGCCTTTGAGGGCCACTGGCCTCTCATGTGCCTCCACCAGCCCTGCTTTCAAAATAAAAGTCCTTTATTAAAGCCAAGTGGAGGTTTGTTTATGATTTGTCACCTGCTGTTGGCCCGCTGCTGTGTTTCTTTGGCGTTTTGTTTGTTGTGGTTCACATTATCCAGCAACCATGACTAACCTTGCAACCTGCCACCCAGCAACATGGCTGCGGTTAGCAGATAGCATCCAGTTCATGTATTTCCTGGTAATTATAATCACGGCTCTCAAATAAATTTGAGGACTCTGGAAATCCAACACATTTAAGTAAATTGGAAAAAAAAAAAAGACTTCAACCAATCCCTCACTGGTTTCTCACCTGAGAACACATTCAGTCATGTTTGATAAAAAGC